GCGAGGCGGATGGCGGCGGCGACGAGGGCGAGGGCGAGGCGGACGGCGGCGGCGGCGAGGGCGAGGCGGACGGCGGCGGCGGCGAGGGCGAGGCGGGAGGCGGCGGCGGCGAGGGCGAGGCGGACGGCGGCGGCGGCGAGGGCGAGGCGGAGGGAGGCGGCGGCGAGGGCGAGCCGGCGGCCAATACGGCGGCTGCAGGCGCCGGGACAGCGGCGATCGCGATGGAGGAGGAGGCGGCGGCGGCGGCAGCTGCGGAGGCGCCTCAGGTGGAGGAGGGCGCGGCGACCGCGGCGGCAGCGGCCGTGAGGGCAGGCACCGCCGCCGGTGCGGCTGGAGGCGGAGCGGCTGACGCACAGGACACCGTTCTGTTGAAGCCGGAGGAGGTGCTGCAGTGCTCGCCTGAGTTGGTCGGAGAGGCGGCCTACACTTATGCTGGCATCTTCCGCGCACTCGAGTCGACGGGTCATCCGACGGCCGAGCAGCCGGCGGAGATGGAGCTGCAGCTCTATCCCGTGCAGCTGCAGACGCTCGGCTGGGCTCGTGGGAAGGAGGCGGGCGCGACGCGTGGGGGGGCGCTCGTCGACGAGATGGGCTTCGGCAAGACTCAGATCATCGCCGCGCTCGTCCTCTCGGACGACAAGGCGCAGCTCGCGCAGCGCGTGGCGAGCGGCGAGTGCCGCGCTACTCTCGTTGTCATGAAGAAGGCGCTGCTCGAGCAGTGGCGGCGTGAGCTCACCAAGGCGCAGCCCGATGTCGAGCGTCTGCGGTGCGCGCCACTCACGCCCCGCATGCCGCGTCCACGCGTTGATGAGAGCGCGCGCAGCATGACTCGCCGGGTCTCTGCGCGCAGCGTGTGCGTGCACAACAAGAAGATGAAGCAGTTTGAGCTTGCCGTCGAGGCCGACGTCGTGCTCACCACCTTCGAGAACTTCTTCGTCGACTCGCGGCTGAAGCGGCAACGCTGGCACCGGCTCGTCGTCGACGAGAGCGCGCAGCATTTGCGCACACTCTCGTCGAAAATCGGCAAGCAGCTTCGCCAGCTCGGCGCGCGCTACAGGTGGGTCCTGTCCGGCACGGCGATTGACGGCAACCTCGCGGCGCTCGCGGGGCAGCTCGCCTTTCTGGGCGTTGGCGGCGACGCCGCTCGCCCCGATTGGTGGACGGCAGTGCAACGCGCGCTTGGTGACACGCAGACGCGCGATGCGGCGCTGCGTCGCGCGGTCACAGCCCTCTCGCCCGTGATGATGCGGCACTCGCACGCGCAGCGTTTTGCGCTCTCGGGCAATTTGCTCATCCCTCTGCCGCGCAAGGAGCACGCGTACGTGCCGGTCCCGTTCGAGTGCTCGAGCACCGGCCATGCCGGCCACGGAGAGGTCGTGACTCGCTGCCTCGAGCACCTTGCACGGCGCGAGCTCAGCGTGGGCTTGGGTGCGCCGCACGGCGATTTCCCGGACTTGCCCAAGGGGCGGGTGCAGGAGCTGCTGCTCGCGAGCTCGCACGCGTGCACGGTCGAGCCGGGCGAAGTTGCTGCGCGGTTGCCGATGCTTCAAACTTGCAAGGCCGACGGGCTCACCGCCGGCTCGCTCGTGCCCACGCGCCTCGTGACACTCGCCGCTGTGACCGGCGGCCTCTCGTCTGACGCGCAGCGGCGCGCCGTCGATGAGGGCAAGGTGTGCTCGATGTGCCGCGTGGACTTCGGCCAGCCCGCCGCCACTTCGACTCGCGCGCGCGTGATCGTCAACGGGTGCTGCCACTCGTACTGCAAGCGGTGTCTCAGCGACCTCTTCATCGAAGCGCGCGGTGAGGAGTTCTTTTGCCGCCACAGCAGCTGCCGGAACCGGCTGCAGCTTGGTTTTCTGCGCGAGCTCGTGGACCGCGGCACGTACGAGGCGTCGGAGCGCGCGCTAGATGACAACGCCGCCTGGGCAGCTTTGGACAAGAGCTGCCCGCCTCCGTGTGAGCTCGAGGGATTCCGTGTGAGCATGTGCGACTCGTTCATCGCCGACGCGCGGGCGCGGGAGGGCATGCTTGGGCGGTACGCCGGCACCGCTCAATGCGAAGATGGCTTCGACCATGTGCGCATCCTGTCGAAGGAGTTCCCGCGGCGGCCACTCGCAGAGGCGGATCTCATTCGACCGGGCTCGCTCGACGGCATCGGCGATGCTGCCCGCGAGAAATACGATGTGGGCGAGGGGCTGCAATGCTCCGTGTGCTGCGAGGAGCTGCAGGAGAGCCAGCTGGCGGCACTGCCGTGCGGCCACTCCCTCTTCTGCCGCCCGTGCCTCGAGAGGCTCAGGCACTTTGCGGTCGACCCGTCGTGCGTGAGATGCCCGCTGTGCATGGCAGAGCACGCGGAGGACGAGATGCACTTCTGCAACCTCTCGTGCGCGCGCATGGCCTTTGGGCTTCGCCTGGAGTCGCTGCCATCTGGCGAGCGAGCCGACAGCCTGTGCGACGGCTGTCTGCAGGTGCTTCCAACGGCATCCGCGTCCATCTGGCGTTGCCGCTGGCCCAAGCGGCTGCAGAACGGCGCGGCGGCGCGTCAGCACTTTGCGACGGAGCGGTTCCACTCGAAGGGCTGCGCTGAGCAGTGGTTCGCACGCAGCTTGCAGCCCCTCAGCGCGAGCTTTGGCGGGAACCGGCAGCTATACGAGAGCGGTCAGAACCGGCGGTCCAACATCGACGAGTTGACACCGCTCTACCGGCGCGATGGTACCGGATGGTGGCGCCTCGGCTACCAGCATGCCAGGACGGAGGCGATGTCGCTCTCCCGCGCGACCGAGGAGTGGAACGATTTGCTCGTCAACTTCCCCGGCATGGAGCCGCACGCCTTCATGGCGCACCTCGACGCGGCGGCCGGCCACTGGACGTCTCAGTTCGCGGACGCCCCGAAGATCAAGAAGCTCGTCGAGCTCATCGCCGACCAGGAGGACAGCGACAAGTTCCTTGTCTTCTCTCAGTCGAAGCTGCTGCTTGAGCGCGTCGCGGACGCGCTGCACGCGCAGTGGGCAGATCACCGCGCAATCGAGGTCGACGAGCGCGTCATTGTCAGCACCGCCGCCGGCGCCCGCGGCACGGTGACGGGCCTCGCTGAGCAGCCGTGGCGCGACGAGGCGGGCCGAGAGTGGGTCGACCAGCGCGTGTTCGTGCTGCTCGATGGTGAGGAGGAGGCGGAGGAGTTCCCTCTCGACCGCGTGCAGGCTGTGCCATTCTTCGTGTGGGCCAAGGACGGCGAGGCGGCGATGTCCCTCTTTCGTGACGAGCCGACGTGCTGCGGTTTGCTGCTCGAGACAGGCAACTTCGCCGCCGGCCTCACGCTGACCGCTGCCAACACGTGCTTCGTGCTCGAGCCGCAGCTCGACGCAGCGCTGCAGGCGCAGCTCGAGGGACGTGTGCACCGCCCAGGGCAGACCCGCGTCGCGAAGATTGTGCACCTGTACACGCCCGGCACCGTCGAGGAGCGCGTCGTGCAGCTTCGTCGGTGAAAGCTCGAGTTCATGAGTGAGAGCGTGCGGGAATTCGTTTTCTCCCTTTTAGGAATGTGGATACCTACGGCTACGCGCGATGTGCGCAGCCTTCTGTACGGTTGGTGTGTCTTGGGGTGTACGGTTTGTACCTGGTAGAGCCGTATGCTTGAAGAGGGGTAGAGCTGACGTGTTCGAGAACGAATTAAAGGAACGTTGATGGCGCCAGCGCCTGCTCGTGAGTCGTGTTGACAAGTGGGGAGCAGACGGCTTCGTTACGAAGCTGCCCCCAGCAGGCGTCTTGACGGGTGACGGGTGTACAAAATTCTTCTCTACACAAAAGAGGCCAACGGACCCGAGAACGAATTAATTTTTCCTCCCGTGTACCCCACACGACGGCTCGCAAAAGCTGCCCGCCCGGGCCACACTGGCGCACCGCGGCAGACCCCCGAGACTGATCTGTTTTCAGCGCGGCTGTGCACCTGTGTGGCTTTTCTGAGATCTGAGATCGCGGGGCGGGGTGCGCGCTGTGCCTGCTGCCTCGTCGTAGTTTATATACCAACATCCGGTGTCCTGCACTGCGTGCGATATCCGCCGCTACCCGCGCCGAACGGGCGCGCGAGAGCAGGCCTCTTTTGCGATCGCGGGCGCGCGAACTCCCCCCAATGTGATAAGCTTCGACGAAGATCGACCATCGAGTCTCCCGCTCGTCCATCCCTTCTCCCACCCTGAGCCGCGCGACCGGCGCCGTCGGTGGGACGTGGGAGCGGTCGTGCCTCCCGCCGCCCGCGCCGCTAGAGAGGCGCCTCACGGCTTTGGCAGGGATGCAAAGACCAGCTGCAGCGCCTCGCGGATCGCCTCCTGCAGCCGCTGCACCTCGCGCCCCGCGAGTGCGCCGCCGTCCTCGCTCGTCGGCCTGCCGATGGCGTTGATCAGGTCCGGGGCGAGCGCAACCTGCTCATAGCCACGCACCCGTGAGGCGACCCCCGACCCGACCCACACCGCATCTCCGGCGCTGCGCGGGGCACCAAGTGAGCGCACTCGGAGCGGCGCCGCGCCGCAGACGGCGACACGGCGGCCTGGCCGGCGGCTGGCGGGTGGGCCGTCCCCACCGGCAGCCGCAAGTCGGTCAGCCGCGTGAGCATCGCAGAGAGCTGCGACGCGCGGGCCGACACCTCGCTCGACGGCGCCGGCGGAGGCGCGGCCGCCGACCACTCGCGCAGCGACGCCTGCACCGCGTCGGTCAGCAGCGGGAGCGCGAGCCTCGACACCTCCACGCCGCCTTCCCACCCGTGCGGCCCGCACGCTCGCCCCGCCGAAGCCGCCCCGCCGCCTCCGCCGCCTCCGCCGCCCCCGCCTCCGCCGCCCCCGCCTCCACCGCCCCCGCCTCCACCGCCCCCGCCTCGGTCGCCGCCTCTGTCGGAGGTCGGCTCGCCCTCGAGGGGCCCGAGCCCAGCGGAGGCCTCGCAGAGGGAGTCGAGCGCCTGGGCGGTAGTGGTGCGTGGCCACTCGTCCGGTGGGTGGTGGGTTAAAAACCTGGAATTGGTGGGCAAGTGGGTGGGAAACCGGTGGAGGCGTGGTCTCTTGTCCCGCTTCCCCCTCGCCGGCACAAGGGGAGAGGGGGGGGGGGGGGGGCAGCGAGCGCGCGCCTCGCGCCAGCAAGCGTCCCGCTTGAGCGCGCTGCTCGCGGGCAGGGTGAGCACGGAGTGCGACAAGCCGAGCAGCTCGACCCGCGCCCCTTCGCGCATCTGAGGCAGCGAGCGCAGCACGTCGCGTGCAGCCTGCCCGGGCAAGCGGGCGGGAGGCGGGATCAGGACACGGACACGACTCTCCTCCCGAAAGGAGGGCAGGCACGCCGCCACGCATGCAACACCGCCAACCTCGGCTGATCTCGGCTGATCTCGCCACGCTGCCCCGCCGCTCATCTCCGGTGATCTCGGCTAATCTCGCCACGCCTGCAGCACCGCAAGCTCGCGCGCCAGCCCCTCCTCGCCGGGCGCCTATTCACACTCAGACGGCGTGTGAAGACGTGTGCAGAGCTTATGCGGCGCCCGCTCCTTCCTTCTCCGGCGCCGTGGGCAGGAGGAGGGTCCTCTTGCCCCCGCCCGCCCGCGCAGCGTACTCCGCCTCCGCCTCCGCCCCCCCACCCCGCTGCGGCGGCGGCGAGAGCAGCGCCCACATCGCTCGGATCATCTCGTCGTGCGCGGCGGGCGTAGCCACGTCCGAGCCGGCGGTCGGCGTCTCACCAGCGGAGGCGAGGGCGAGGGCTGGCAGCACCGCGCGCGTGAGGCCGACGAAGGTCCTTGCAACCTCCTTTGGCAGCGCGGGGCAGAGCACCTGCCGTGGAGAGGGCGCGAGTGCGGCCGAGAGGTGGGGTGCCGATGCACAGCAGCGCTCTCCTGCCGCCTCCTCCTCATGCGGGGGAGGGGAAGGGGGGAAGGGGGGGGGGGGGGGGCGGAGCACAGCACCTCGGGCGAGTGCGCGAGCTCGAGGATCGCGCGAAGGACCTGCAGCACGTCCTCGAGATGGTCCGAGAGGGTCCGAGAGGGTCCTCACTTTGTGCGAGCCGCAGGACCTGCAACGCGTCCTCGAGAACCTCCAGCTGGGCCAGCGGCGGCACGCCGCTCGTCAGCAGCTGCAGCAGCAGCGAGTATGCGTGCTCCGCGAAGCACGCCACGTGCCGCACTCCTCGCGGCTTGGCCGCCGCCGCCGCGGCGGCGGCCGGCTGCCCCGGCGGCGGCGCCGCGGCGTCCGGCGCGATTGCGACGAACTTGAGGATGTGCAGCAGCAGCAGGGGCCACAGGTTGTCGGCGCGGACGGCGGGCGGGAAGGGGGGGAGCCCCTGCACCAGCTTGAGCGCGGAGAGCTGCAGCGGCGACGGCTTGGCGGGCGGGCGGTACGGGTCCCAGCCACTCGACGCGCCGGGAGGGACCGCGAGCCTCGCCTGTGGACGCGTCTCGGACGCGTCGTGGACGTGTCCTGGGCATGGCCGGGAGATGACCTGCGAGCCTCGCCGAGAGGGTCACCAGCCGAAGGACATCCGCCTCCTCGAACCGGTCGCGCGCCTGCGGGCGCGAGCTCGGGCACTGGTAAAGCGAGGACAGTCGCGCGCCAGATCGCGTGCGTGAGGTTCGGGCAGCGCGTCGAGGCTCATTCAGCCCTCGATCCGTTCGCTCACCGGCCGCGCGCCTGCGTGTACAGCTCGTGCAGCGCGTCGAGCATCGCGTGCAGCACCTGTGAAGAGCAGCCGGGCGGTGGGAGGAGCACCAAACAGCACCCGTGGAGAGTGGTCGGTCGTCGCGCGCGGCGCCTCGGCGTTGGCGTCGTACGCCTCTGCGTCGGCCGCCATCTCGGAGGAGGCGCTCCTGTAGATGGTTGACAGGGGTCAAGACTGTTCATTGCTACTCACAGCAGGCCGTCTCGGAGGAGGCGGACTCGATGAGCCCCCACACGGAGGTCCAGAGCGCGATCGGCAGCCTCTCGTGAGGTGTCGCCGGCGCCTGAGTCATCAACCAAGCCGTCATTGGGTAGAATCACTCGTAGCGTCTCTCTCCCACGGGGTCGCCGCCGCCTCGCTCGCGTTCGGCCGCGCTCGGTCTGCAGGGCTGCCCGGCTCACCCGCCGCCGCCCCGCTCGATGCGCCGCCCTGGCCGCCGCCGCCGCCAAAGCCTCCGCCGCCTCCACCTCCGCCTTCGCCGCCGCCGCGCTGCGGGGAGCGGGCGGCGGCGAGGAGGGAGGAGGAGGCGCGGCGCGGGGTCTTGAGGGCGACGGTGGAGCAGAGCAGCTCGTGCACCAGGGCGTGGATCGCCGCCTTGGAAACCTCGACGGAGCGGCGGGCGGCGAGCAGCGACGTGCGGCAGAAGGCGAGCAGGCGCGCCCACGCCTTGGAGAAGCGCGGCCGCGCCATCAGCGTGGGGAGGAAGGCGCGGAAGAGACGCGTCGACGAGTGCAGTAGCAGCACCCACGTCTCGTCCCACTGCTTGGAGGCGGTGTCGCGGGAGTGGTGGAGGAGCATCAGCACGGGGACGCCGCCCTCCTTGCCGAGCGGCTTGGCAACCTATGAACGAATGGACCTTTCATTCACCGACTATGAGCTCCTCCTGCCGACTGCGGCGTTGCAACCTGCTGCGTCGCGCACGCCGCAGCGGCGGCCTCGCACACCTCGCGCATCATCGGCAGCAGCGCGCGGAAGAGCGCGTAGTCCCATGTCGAGCCGGACAGCTGCGCGCCGTGCGACGTGAGGATGGAGGTGAGCGTGTGCAGCGAGCAGGTCCGCACCTCGGTCCGCTCGTCAGCGGCAAGCCGCCTCAGCTGGCGCGCGATCGCGCACCACAGCTCGTGCGACTCGACCGGCTCCTCGACGCGCAGTTCGCCGTACCGCGGCGCAGGAGCGAGCGCAGACCCAGCCAGCTCCGCCTCGTCGCCACCCGCGGGTGAGCCGCCGCCGCCGCGGTCGGCCGCAGCCGCCGCGTCGCTCGCACTGCCGGCAGCCGCCGCCGCCGCCGCTCCCGCTGCCGCTGCCGCTGCCGCTGCCGCTGCCGACTCCGCCGCCGACGCCGACGCCGCCGACGCGGCGGCGGCCGGTGGCGGAGGGGAGGCGCGCCCGCTAGGCGCGGGGAAGGCGTCCTCCTCGTCCTCCTCCTCCTCGTCGGTCGGCTCCGCGGCGGACGAGGCGCCGGGCGGGTCCTCGTCGGCGGCGTACTCGAGCAGAAAGTCGGAGATGGTCCACTGCAGGCCGATGGCGGTGAGCGAGGCGTTGAGATGGTCCGCCTGGTTGCCGTACGCCGCCGCTACCTCGACGTACGCGAGCAGGCACGGCGGCGGCAGGGAGGGCAGGAAGTCGGAGGCGATGAGCTGGACAGAGCGGATCGCGAGCGGCAGCAGCGGCAGCAGCGCGGGCTTGGTGGCGGCGCGCCACAAGATAGAGAGGATGAGCAGCCAGCCCTCGACCAGCCCGGCGCCGCACGAGCGGAGCAGCTGGTGGACACACTGCAGCACGCGCTCCTGTGTCTCGCGGTGCGCGCACCGGCGCTGCAGCTCCTCGAGCGGGGAAAGGACGTGCCTGTCCCACCCACCGCCCCAGCCGCCCTGGCTCCCCCACCCGCCCGCCGCGCCGGCAGACAAGGGCCTCCCCCTGCGCCCTCCCGCCGCCGGCGCGTCGGCGGCGGCCTCGCCCCCGTGCGGGGCCGCGTCGCCGTCTCGCTGCGCCATCCCGTACTGCAGCACGCTCAGAACGACCTTGGAGAGTGACTCGATCCTACGTGCTGAGTACGCCAACCTCAGGGCGCGAATACGGTATTGTGCAGCGTCTTCAGAGCACCGCGTGAATACAACGGATAGGAATGCAGTGATACAGCGGACTACGGGTGAATACAGCGGAATACGTGGCCCTCTCGGGCGCTAGCTGGGAGACACGAACACGTATTCCGCTTCTAGGGACTCGATCCCGACGACGCGGATGCGCGGCACCTTGTGGTTCGCCACGGGCAGCAGCAGCTGCGTCACGAGCGGCCACAGGGCAGGCGCGCGGTGCAGGTTGCACAGCACCGTCTCGACGAACCGCGTGAGGGCGAAGAGTCGCTGCGCCGTCCCACCCGCCCCCGAGCCGGGCGCGGCGAGCTTCTCCTTGGAGGTTGCCTCGTGGGCGAGCGACGCGAAGCACTGCGTCGAGAGAGCGGTCAGGAAGTGGCCGAGCGCCTCGTCGTCGAGCTCGACGGTCACAGACGCGAAGAGGTTGCTCAGCGCCTAGCGCTGGTTAGGGTTCGGGTCAGGGTCAGGGTCAGACGGCCACAGACGCGAACGGAGGTTGCTCAGCGCCGTGTGCAGCAGGCCCAGCTCCTGCGTCGCCGCGTCGGCGCCGCCGAGCGCCGCCGCGCGCTCGGCGGACTGCGGCGAGGCTGCGGTGAGCTTGGAGGAGAGGATGATGCGGTCGAGCTGCTCGAAGGTCTGCAGGACCAGGTTCCAAGACGAGCCGAGCAGCGACCCCATGCAGTGCGCGATGTTGAAGAGGGCCTTGAGAGCGAGCACGTTCTTGGCGGAGAGGGACGTGTGCGGCAGCGGCTCGTACGCCGCGTCCGGCGGCGCGAAGGAGAGCGCCGACGCCTCTTGCAGCTCCTGCCGCGCGCGCGGCGGTAGCGCGTACCGGCAGAGCGCCGCCAGCAGCGCATCGCGCGGCTGCTGCATCGAGAGGCGGCCGCATGCGTGCGTGAAGGCCTGGAAGGCCTTGAGGGTCGCCTGCACCGCCTCGTCGGAAGAGAAGCGCGCCTAGGAAGCGTCTCGGAGGTGTCTCGGAAGTGTCTCGGAAGTGTCTACGAACGTCACGCGACTCGTCGGAAGAGAAGCGCGCCGTCGCCAGCGCGAGGGAGGTACAGAGCGGGACCCAACACGTCGAGACGAGGGAGCGCACCAGCTGCATCTCGCCGCGCGCCGCCTCCGACATCGACAAGTGCACGCCCCCGATGACGATCTTTGCGCGCTCCACCCCGCCGCCTTTGGCCGCCTCCTCGCCGCTCGCCGTGCCGTGCGCGGCCGCGCGCTCCGAGAGGGCGACGACGGAGTGGACGAACGAGAGGACGCACCTGGGGGAGGTGTGGGGAGGTGTGGGGAGATGTGGGGAGATGTGGGGAGATGTGGGGAGATGTGGGGAGGTGTGGGGAGGTGCGGGGAGGCGTGGGGAGGTGTGGGGAGGTGTGGGGAGGTGTGGGTAGGTGTGGGTAGGTGTGGGGAGGTGTGGGGAGGTGTGGGGAGGTGTGGGGAGGTGTGGGGAGGTGTGGGGAGGTACGGGGAGGTGTGGGGCGGTGTGGGGCGGTGTGGGGAGGTGTGGGGCGGTGTGGGGCGGTGTGGGGAGGTGTGGGGAGGTGTGGGGAGGTGTGGGGAGGTGTGGGGAGGTGTGGGGAGGTGTGGGCAGTCCTGGGGAGGTGTGGGGAGGTGTGTGGAGGTGCAGCAGGTGCGTGGAGGTGTGC